AGTGGTCACACAGACAATCATGTGTCCTATAAAACCAAGTGTTTTAAGGACTAAAAAAAAAACAGAAAACTTTTAACTACTTTTTAAGAAATATTTTTGTCCTCCTATAAAGATGTTTAAATATCGCTTTATTACTTTTTTTCTGACGCTGCTTTGAACTACTGCAACCCTCACATCCACAAAAAAGCTTTTATCTCCAGCTTGTATTTCTCCATATGCAAGGCTAGGAAGACAAAAGTAAGAGACCTGGCAGTTGGACATTGTGGGAAAGAGAACTTTTACTGGCACTGTATCTTTAAAATACCTCATAACTTGAGTTTACATATTTTCCTATTTTTCTTATTTATTCATCTAGAGAATTCTTCATCGATTAAGAACTACAGTTTTCACCGTTTAAAATGAATAAAACAAAACCCTAAGTCACATATTATATCATGAGTGTCCTTGGCCAATCCAACATAAACAAAGAAAAGCATCTTCTCCGGTGTGTGCACACAACAGACAACCTAAGGAAACAAAAACATGGCCACACACAGCAGAAATCTGGTTAGTCCACTGCACCTCCCCCATAAAAATAAAATGTTCATGTTCTTCTATGGTCTTGATGCTTCATTTTAAGAACATAAACCCAAATTTAGGATCTAAATTGATATATTTGTCCATTTTTAACAACTCAGTACATTTAGTAAATAAATCCTAGAGTTGTTTTTTTTTTTTAATTATTGCATTTTTTAAAGCCACCCAAAAGTGAAAGTTCTGGGGACTTTGGAAATGCCTGCGTAAGGTTGTGCTCATGTGAGAAAGCAAGTCTTTGGGTGTGCTCTTCCAGGAAACTTTTACAAATCATTTTAATGAGAAGGCTTAACCGTCTGAAATCATCTCACTCCCATGGAGAACCACATTTCCTCTCTGCCATACTTACCACTGCTACTAGGCTTTTCTAGAAAAAAGTCAGATTGGAAACGAGCTAAAAATTGAATTGCGCATAGCTACTTTTCTGTTTCCCACTAACAAAAATATTATTTAAGAAAATCAATTCATGAAATAACGGTTTGAATCCCAGTCATTGAGAAATACAACCTTCTTGGTGGAGAACAAACAGTCCATCTCTCTTGGTGGCTTCAGTTCATTCGTCTGCTTGAAGACAAAAAACAGGCCCAAGTGCACACTCAGGTTTCTTCCAGCTTAGACTCAGCTTGGATTCAACAAAAGGGAGTTTCATTGTATATCTGAATAACCAACCTTCAAAAAGACCACACCGGTTAAGAGTAATGTGCCATATATGATTAATGTGCCATAAATGATTAATATGTATCTCTTGAATATATATACAACTTGAATATAAGTATACATGTGTATATATGTGCGTGCATATACACATATGTGTACATATATGGGCACACACACATACATATATAAAAGTTTGGTTATGTCTGTTTACCTGAACTAATCTGAGGTCAGGCCCAAACATATTCTTAAGCACCTGGTGCCAAAGCACTGAATTAAAACTTCTTGAAATATTTTAAGTTGTTTCAAATTAAATGTTCTATGTACTAGAATTGCTTGTTTGGTTTATCTTAAAATCCTATTATATCTCTATACACACCTTCACACAACTTATCCAAAGGTCCAACTACCAATCCACCCAAACAATATGATGAACGAAGGAAATAGTGGTAACCCTCGAGAGTGGTAACTGTTGGGAGCTGGACTTAAAAGCAACATCCCAAGGATTTTCATTGCATATAGTTAGATTTCAATTAATATTGTTTCACCCAATTTATACCTTTTCCCCAGAATAGCTCCTTTGTTATCCATGGTTTAATCTGTAAAATTTCACGCTTGTTACAGGGTCCAACGTGGTCCCCCATGCAGTCATCAATGGTAGTCACTCTCCTTTCCCTGCGAAGAACACTAATAGGTTTGCTTGGTGAGAATGAGGCTTGTGAGAAGATGGCAGTGAAGGAGACAACATATTTTCCCTTCTGAAGTAGGTTTATCAAAGATTAAAAGAGGCACCCTCTGTACCGTAGGTAAAACGTAGTTTCCATGGCTCCAAGGACAGCAATTGGAAATTCAGGAGGTACACCCCAACTTTCCTGATTCACGGCTCCTTTGACATCTGCTTTGATCACCAGCCCCTCATTTTCATGTGAGGCAACCCCATTTTCCCCCTCCCTAGGAGGAAGCACTTATGGGCCCTGGAAGCTAGCCAATTAATGACATCATCTTAGTTTAGACTCATCAAAAGCGAATTTGTGTTAATGTATATTTTAAGAAAGAAAGGTTTTCTATTTTCTTTCAACATGACTCATTATCTTTTCCTATAAAATATAGCTGTAAGGTATCATATGTAGGTATCCCTTCAGAGGTAAAAAGACTACACCAATGCAAAATGCATCATTTTATTGATGTCCTCATTCTAACAGTGAAAGCTAAATGCATTCCAAGAATCCACTATTCAGATGATTATGTCCTTGGTACATGGAAGCATGAAGATTAGAAGTAATATACTCAGAATGTTGCAAAGCATGCCCGGTCAGTGTGGCTCAGTGGTTGAGCATTAACCTATGAACAAGGAGGTCATGGTTTGATTCCCGGTCAGGGCATATGCCCAGGTTATGGGTTTGATCCCCAGTAGCGGGTGTGCAGGAGGCAGCTGATCAGTGATTCTCTCTCATCATTGATGTTTCTCTCCCTCTTCCTTCCTTGCTCTGAAATCAATAAAAACATTTTTTAAAATCAAACAAAATGTGGCAAAGCAAAATCAGTGCTGATTTCATAATGTTTTTAGCTATTGCGCCAGAAACCCTTCCAAAGCTTTGGTAATTTTTTCCTATATAATTTCTGTTGGCTTTACTTATATTAAATAAAAGATTTAAATTGAAAGAAGTAGCGAACAAAGTGTTTCGTATACCTGGCAACTAATGAATATTACTTATTGTTTTAATTATGTTGTCAGGGAGAGTTTTATTAAATATAAATCAAACATACATAATCATGTGTAACTGAAGATACTTCTACAAATACCTATTTGAACACATTCATTTGCTTAATTAATGAATAGCTTTCGATATATTTCTCAATTCTATTTTAATTCAAAGGCTTGGTATTAATAGCCCCAGCCCAAGTTCCTGGGCCTGCTCTGCCTTCTAAGATGCAACTCACTCTAATGTTAGAATTCTTTTCCTTTACTTTGTTTTTGGGCTACTATTTTGTACATTTGGAAAAAAAACTATAACAACACTGATATGCTGAGATGAACAAGACAATCTCTACTCTCAAGAAGCTTAGAGTGGGAAAGAGCTGGCAAGTTTTCTTCTCATAAGGTAAGTGCTTTGATGATCATTAACCCAAAGTCGACCCACTCAACCTTGGGGAGGATGGTCATGGGAGAGAGGTTTCCTAAATTTTGGGGTCTCTAAACTGAGCCCTGAAGAACTCAAAGAAGAGACATGGATGCTAAGGAAGGCAAACATGTCAGGAGGGAGGAGAGCAACAGAAGAAGTGACACAGGGTCATTTTCAAAGATAAATACTAATTAACTGGATAAAAGAGTAGGTAAGAACCAACATTGAACAATAGGGCTAGAGAAGAAGCTACCTCAATAAAAGAAATGTTACTGCACTTAGACTTGCTCAAAAAAGAGAGGCAATTTCTATGTAAAAGAGAACTTTTATTACTTGAATTTCCCGTTATCAAGAAGCATATGCTGTTTACCTGTCAATATGTCCATCCTGGTACATTCTGTTACTCCTGAAGAGCTTGGCCATTAGAAAAGCAGATTGCTGCTGCACTCATCCCAAATCCATTTAATTGTGAAAGAACTCTTTATATTTCATAGTCCAATGAGGAATAAGAGGGATTTTTTTTAAAGCACTGATCTCAAACTTCCTCTGCCAAGAATTGATTCCTTTAAACTTTAGGTTGAATTTTAAGACCACTTCAGAAGATATTCCAGAGTTTCCATCTTTCTCTCATTACACAAGCAATGATCCTTCACTTTCCCATTTCTAAGCTCTCTCTTCATTCTGTCTCTTAAACCCAAAGAATACCAATACCCTCCTAAACAGCATTTCCATATGTCCAAGTTTCTCAATCCAGTTGAAGCAAATTATTGGTCATTCCAACCCCTAAGCTCTCTCCTAAGGATTCTTTATCTGGGACAACTCCGCTTTCAAGTACAGTTTACCATAATTTGTATGTGCATCTATCACAGATGGATTGTGCCTTTCATGGAAGGGAATAAGGTGTCTCTGATGTGCCTCGAGGTCTGTGGCCCATAATGGCACAGGCCCAGCGCCCCTGCTACGATGTCTAGCCTCCTCCCTTTGGATTGAGGAAGCCCATTTAAGTAGTCTTCTGAGCTGGATGTTTACAAGTGGCCTCCCTAAACCTCCCAGTCTTTCCACAGTTAAGTTCTTGGAAAATATTTTTCAGATTCCATGAAAATCATATGTGATTAGTGCCAATTGGGTTTGAACATTAGGTTTTTTACTCATTAATCAAATATCTGTATTTGATAGACAGTTTCCAGAGGGAATGTTATATAATTCTGCAGCTTTAAGTGTCTATGCTATCAAGTGACACAAGAACCCAAAGCTCTGAAATCTTATTTGGAGACCATGCTAATATCAACTTCAGATATTAAGATAAAAATAATTCATAAATTCCTGACTTTGTATATAAGTGTACACGCATTCCCTCCTCCATTGGAAGAGCATGGGCTTGGTACTAATCCACCTACACCACCACACCGCCTCCACGGGCACTGTCAGCATGTAGGTATTTGCAAGATACCTAGCTGAATGCAACCAGTGACTGTGGAATATAGCAAAGCCTACTGGCCCTGCTAACAACTGATTTTCACCCTGATGTAGTAAGAGTTTGGATGGAGAGAAATGGGCAGGTATGGGATAAATCATCTTTTTGAGGTCAAGTCTGCAGGGCACTAGATCTGCCTCACTTCATGCATCTAATTAAAACCAAACCCTCACGAAATACTACCTACAGAAGGAAAAGAAAAATAAGCAGCCCCTTACCAAGTACATTTGCCAGAAAACAGTGTTTCAATCGTGATCAATATTTAGGTTAAAATTTAGGATGATTCTACTCTATTAAAATCTCTTAGCAATTTCCCCCAGTCCCTAAAGTCTTTCATAATCATATTGGGTTTTCATGACATCAAAAGCCAAAACAGTACAAGTTGCTTTTGGTATAAATGTTAGAAACTGTCTCTTATTACTTGAAAGACTAAAAAGGATTTAGATGTTCACATGTAAAATGATCGTGGCCTCTTTTCCAGGCTTTCGGGGTATAACTTTCATAAGTCAGTTAGCCCACAGAGAAATTAAATTAAATTAAAGAGAATAGTTCTGCAAATAGAATGCACTGTTGATGCGTTTTGGTGACGTTTTATCCTGTGCATTTGAATGAGTAGGATAAAGTACCATATTGCAGATTTCACATATTCCTCACGCTCCACCTCCATTCCAGTCCTTTGGAAGTTGATATTAGCATGGTCTCCAAATATTAATCTGGGGCTTTGGGTTCTCATGTCACTTGATAACGTGGACACTTAAAGCTGCAGGATTATAACATCCCCTCTGATAACTGTATATCAAATACAGATACTTGATTAATGAGTAAAGAATCTAATGTTCAAACCTAACTAGCACCTAATGCCATGTGTTCCTTCAGCTTTCCACATTACCCATTCCTTATAACTGTAGCACTCCCACATTCATTTTCTGTGTCAAGACAAAATTCATGGCCCTCTGTTAAAAGAGCTTGCTCAAGGTTGGCTTTCATTAGTATTTTATGTCCCTGTTCTCCATTTACCCTGCACTCCACCCTTCCATGTGGAAATCATCCTTCAGTCACCTTTTCTTCTAACGCCCCTCAGGTCTCTCATGCATGCATAAGTACAGGTATGGACGAACCAGCACTCAACATTATACACAATGTATTGTGAAATATATTGATATATTTTTAGCTTTATTCCAGGAAAACACATTTAACTGCATTGCAAGTTACAGTCTATTGAAGTTAGATAGAAACTCCCACCAAATAGGACTGCTGAGGTTTGGTACAGTAGTTTGTCTTGATGATCTCATGTACACAGTCACTATAGTCAGTATTGCACTTGCCACACTTACAGCTTACAGCTATAGGGAAGGAGAAATAAGGACTAACATGGCGTGGGCATCCTGGTATCTCTACAGTCTTGTATATGAAGTCTCCATATGTACAAACATCCTGGGACAGAGCATATTTGGGAAGAAACTGCTTGCCATTGATATCCTGAGGAGAGAACAGAAAAAGGAGCATAGTATAATAGCACTTTAAGATGCATATAGTCAATGGCAACAAATAAAAACCAACTCACTTATGTTTCTTTGTCACTAATAGGACTGGGGGAGGATTCCTCAGTCCCATTCCCCAAACCCCACTCAACACATCCTCACTGAATCCCAAAGAGACAAATGTGGCACACACACCCTTTTATCCTTAATCATGGAAACAAGATAAGGCTTAAACAAAGTTTGGAAGTAAACTGTTATAAAATTATCTATACCCACTGTGTTGAGTATAAACATATAGTAACCTGTGCCCTCTACCTCTAAGGAGCCAATTACCATTAGATTTGGGAAATGAGGTTGTGATTTATCTCATTTCCTTTCTGCATAGATATGGACAAAGTCTAGGTTTACCTAATGTACAGCTAAAAGAAGTAAGATGAACTACATACCCGTGTCATACAATATCCGGCACAGATGGTGGTGTTGATGGTTAAGCAATAATCACACTCTTGCCTTTCAACATGCATCATATACTCAGTTGGAATACAAAAAGATGTTGCTTGCCCACACAGAAGGCCAAAAAGCATGGATATCAGGAAGATAGCAGTCATGCTAAATTGAAGATAAAATTAAAGAATCTATTAGGTGTATCCTTTAGGATATTCAGAAGAGACATTTGGAAAGAGCCAAAAATATGTATATTTTAATACTATGCCTATATTGTCCTAGGATCTATATTAGGTGTTTTTACATAATTAATACCCGCAGTAATTTTTCTTTATACACTGAAATGTGGCTCTGATTCACATACCCCACAGTGAGTGGCAAGCCTGAAGCACCACAGCAGGGAAGTGGCAGAGACACATGTGCCAACTAAGTGTACAACAATTCATTCAATGAAAACAATCCAAATACCTGCCTCTATGACTGGAAGAAGTGAATGAACAGTTAGGCTTCAGTAAGGGCTTTCCCAGAACTCTAGCTTTCAAAAAAACTTTGGTTAAAAGGCCAACAAATGGGTCATAATCAGAAAGGGCAAAGAAACCAAGAAAATGCATTATCAAACATTAGTACCATCTCAATACAAATAATATTGCATATAATTTTACCCACTGCCTGCCAAGGAAGACAAGATGAAGCTACAGAAAATCCAGAAAACATTAACATAAAATTAGGAGCTAACCCAGAAATCTAGATACTTTCTTTCTCCATCCTTAGGATATTCCTCTAATGTTGAAAAAAGTAGACTTGGACATGTAAAAAATTATGTTACTCAGAAGATGTATGAAATTAATTATCTTAAAAAGATTTCAGACACAGCCCTGGCCGGATGGCTCAGTTGGTTGGAGCATCATCCCATTCACCAAAAGGTTGCTGGTTTGATTGCCGGTCAGGCCTCATGCGCAGGTTGTCATCTCAGTCCTCAGTAGGAGACATGCAGGAGACAGCCAATCAATGTTTCATTCTCACATTGGTGTTTCTCTCTCCCCCTCTCCCTTCCTCTTTTTCTAAAAATCAAGAAAAATATATTTTGGGGGAAAAAATTCAGATGCAAAAATTATAGGTTGACACAGTAGTGAGAATAACAATCAAGGTGGCAGATACATTGTGGGCTAGCCAGGAGAATCAAATATGGTTGGCTGCATAGAAGATATCAGAGGGTCCATGTGCCTCAGTCAGAAGAAGAACAAGTATCTCAAGAGAGCCTGTCCGCTGAAAGAATTTGTTCAATATCAATTGGCATCATAATGAGCTGGATACTGTTGGCATAATTATTTTAGTTCTGCTACTGAGAGCAGGTAATCCAGACTTTTGAATGTAAATTGATCACTTCAGAGATTAAGAAGATTGTTTTACCTTACAAATATAGTACAGTTAGCTAGGTATATTTGCCATTTTTCCTCCTTAAGTATTACTGTGAGAAAAGAAAATATTCATCTTAGTGAAGCAGTTATCTTTGAACACAAATTTGTTTGCTTTTTCTATTAAATATGGTATAATTCAGTAAACATTTTATTCTATCAAAAATGTATCAAGATTTTCTCATATCTTTCCATTATATCCCAATACTATCTGTAAGCTGTATATACTAAAATTTCCATCAACTGAAATCTTAGAGACTCAGCCACAGTTAACCAGAATTCATCTTTAATTAACTTTTTAAGAGAAAACTAAAACCCCATTCAACAAACTACCAGGGATAAACATTTCTGCACTCCTATTCCCAGAATGAGAATTGCAGAAAAATTAGATAAGCATATATTGAGCATGTGAACCAGGCACTGAGAGATACAAAATGCGTAAGCTATCTATGGTCCTTGACCTCAGGGCTGACAGTCTAATAATGGAGGAGATAAGTATGAACAAACACTAATAATAAAAGTACATATTGTTCTAAGTGCTCTGAAAGAGTCCAAATTATGACTCTGGAACCCCCAAATGATATAGACAAGGAAGTAAGCTAACCCATTAAGAAGGGTTTTCTAGTGAACCCTTTTATTTATTTTTTTCAATCTTTAATTTCTTTATTGATTTAAGGTATTACATATGTGTCTAGTGAACTCTTTTAAATAAAATGCTGCATGTTCAAGCTTTCCTTGGAGGTTTGTTGGTATTTCAATTAGGGACAGAAAATATAAGAACTCGTTGCTCATGGAATCTGGTTTTCTCAAATGCTTCACAAATGTGAGCTCCCTCAATGGTAGAATTGGTTCCCTTATTTTAGAGCCACAGACTTGGAGGATCCTCTGCAGAATCTTAAAAATATCAACTGAGAACATTATATAAAATACTCACCTGTCCTGATCATATGGTTCTTGCCTGACTAGCCAGCCAGCCAGCTACTGGATTTTTGCCATAGGAAATCATTAATTTCACGTTTTAACTTTTAGCTCTATGATGCTATGTAAAATAGATGTGTGGCAACCTAGTGGTGAGAATATTGGTCCTGGATTAAGGAACACAATTGTATTTTAAGAATTCCCATGAATCTATGAGAAATTGACTTAAATATTTAATTGGTCTGGACCTTATTTCCCCAACTGCAAAACAGAAAGAAAGAAAAAAAAGTACACCTGACCTTTTTTAAAATTGTAGAATAAACAAAAACTATTTTGGAACTTTTACCCATTGTCATTCATTCTGGACACTAGACATTTTTTTCAAAGTTACCCTTATAAATATAAAACTCTAAACTAGCAAAAGGAAATGTTAAAAGCACTGAATTATCAGCAAAGTATCTGAATAACTTTTGGATGTAAAGAAAGTAAAAATTATCCTTTTTCCTTAACTGCAAATAAAATTCTATCTAAAAAAAACCTTTCAAAGCCTCACTTCCTTTAGCTAGAAAAGCAAAGCTTAGAACCAGAATATGATCAGGAAGTTCTTTTCAGTACAAAGAGTGTGTGATTCTATGTGATAAATTAGTGTCAGACTCCTGGTCTAAGAGTTAGTGACCTAGAATTCTGCTTCCAAATTTCATTGTAATGTGTGTCACTGAGCAATTTAATAACTTTGTGCCCCTCATTTTTCCATATGCTCTATCCTAATCTCATAAAAAAATTAACAATACATATGATGAATTTGGAATGCTACAGAAGACTATATAAATATAT